AATATCACGAATAATGGAGAAAGTGGTTAAAGACCAAGTGTCAGACAACTTACTAGAACATGAACTTATCAATCCATCACAACACGGATTCCTCAAAAAGAGATCATGTGCGACCTGTCACATAGACTTTTTCAATGAAGTTACACGAAGCAGGGACAACAGAGAACTAGTAATTGTGCTGTATTTCGATGTAACAAAAGCCTTCGATAGAGTCCCCCATAATCTGCTAGTCAGCAGGTTATGCTCACTAGGGATATGTGACCCTCTCCTGAGCTGGATAAAACCATTTCTCTGTGGCTGAAGTTAGATAACGAAAGTTGGCTCGATAATCTCAAGGCCTAAACCAGTAAGTAGTGGTGTAATCCAGGGAAGTGTATTAGGCCCACTCCTATTCATAATATATATAAACAGTATCTGTGAATGCTTTAGTGTTGGTAAACCAATACTATATGCAGATGACTTAAAAGTGACCTATAAATGCAAGAACACAGATCTCGGAATAACAGTAAACGCCATACAGCAAGAATTAGAAAAAATGGATAGATGGTGTGACACCTGGCAACTCCAGTTTAATGTCGACAAATGTGGCTGGCTCTGCATAGGTTGCAACAATTTAGAACTTGACCTGACAATTCAAGGCCATGCACTCTTACGACTGGAATCTGTATTGGACCTAGGACTGAAATACTCACATGACTTATCATTTTCTGAACATATCTCCAAACAAGTGTCAAAGTCACGCAGACTTATCGGCTTTCTACTCAGGAACTTCTACAGAAATGAGTCCAGAATTCTGTTGTACAAGGTTTGTGTGCGTCCTTTATTTGATTACTGTTCATTCATGTATAGTAGTATACGCATAGAGGACAAATTGAAAGTCGAGGGAGTGCAGAGGTACTTCACGTCAAAATTACTCGGAACCGAAAATGGTGCGAACTACTCCACTAGATGTGACACCCTAGGATTAGAAACACTATGGCTAAGACGCCTGAGACTAAACTTAACACTTTACTATAAGCTTCTAAACCACTTAGTTTTTACCTCTACCAATGGCACTCGACTTTCAGATGACAATGGCTACAAACTAAGACACACTGAGGGTACAGTAGCTATCGAACAATGTAAAACAGCTACCAGGCAAAAGTTTTACTTGATTAGGTATGCACAGATATGGAATAAACTACCAGTGGAAATGCGTCAAGCAGGTACATTGGCCTCCTTCAGAAAAGTGCTTAACGACAAACTACAAGAGTTTGAAAACGATAGTAGTCCTAGTTCCTATCTGAGAGCCTCAGAAATTATAGGTCCATTTAATGTACAAGCTCAAATACTACACCCGCTGTTTTTGCCTATATTTATAACTTTAGAATATGTATTATTATAGATAAAACATTAACGATTAAGATACTTACCCTCAAACAGACAAAAAATTTCGTTTGTAAAACTTCTACCTAACACAATAAGTGGAATAAAATGGATATAAACGACAACATGAAAAAGTTATAATTCACCGCAACATCACATGGACAGATATACGCTCATCCGGCATCATATATGCCTCACCAACTGCAACCCATCTTTCCTAAGATAATGTAGTGAACTTATATCCATAATGTTGCTGAGCAGTCAATATTCACAACTCCTGTCAGAACAACTGAAATTCAAAAGCCTTCCTCACGAGAAGAAAATACCCACAAGCAGTAGAAATCCATTAATTAATGCGTCTAGAGCTTATGTATTTTACTCCCAACAATGAAATTGCAGATCAAATGAAATAAACATATCTCTGATTTCAAAATAACACATCAATGAACTATAATTTAATAATTAGTATTACCCGTTGCACAAGAGGTGGCTCTCGTGGCCCAAGTGGTCTAGTGGATAACGCTTTGGTGTTTGAAACTATGGGCACTGGGTTCGAGCCTCGGTGGGAACATCATCACTCACTGAGAAATGCAGGTACATCCGGAAGACGAGTCCCAAATAGGGCGAAATGCGCATCCTGGATTCCACTGTTAACCACCATCCACCAATTGTGTATAATTCAAGGATTCTCTACACAACAAAATTATGTATGAAAACTGACTTCAAGCTTTATTTTTTTTCCCAGGCAATTATAACCCATCCACCGAAGACCTGGTTATTTTTGTTAATGCGAAGACAATACTACTGTATTTCCTGATGTGTTGCACTCACTGATAATCTAGCCGATTTTTCCAACTGTGCACAGAAATGATTGTGCATAAGTAAAAAGGATGTTTTATACTACTGGGATTAACATTTATCAAGTGTATGTATAATCTCCAGCGTACATGTTAAACATATTTTGCTATCGACTGTAAATTGTGACTGAATAATATGGTCCTATTTCTGTGTCAATTTGATGATGTCTGTAAACTGGCGTCCCTCATGTACTGTACTATGAGAATAAATTTATTTATTTATATGTGATAAAAAGGTCATATGTTGTTTATTTAGTTAATGGACGGATAAAGCATATTGTGGGTTATAATGGAATATCAATCAATATACACATAGCAAAATATATCAGACTGTCAAAACAAAGCAGACATCATGTGACTACATATAAAAAAACCATCATTCCTCCGACTTTTAAGGGTGGGGGTAGGCGAAATGCCGCCAGTTATATACCACTAACAATACTCCCAGTGGTATCAAAGTAACGGAAAATATTATTGATGGTCCCGTTGGGAAGCCTGACACAGTTTCAGGAAAGGCAGATCCTGTGTAACAAACCTACTATCAGCTTGAGATGATTGGACATCATTCTAGGATATGAATGTTCCAGTCTGTGTGGTCTTCCTAGACCTCGGGAAGGTATTTGACACAGTTCACCACGACCTTCTCCTACACAAAATAGGTCAGACAGGAATAGGTAAGCCACTTCTGTCATAGTTGAAGGACTGTTTAGCTGAAAGGAAATTTCGCACTAAGGTCAATCGAATCCGATCATCCTAACACATCTCGTAATCAGGAGCGTTGCAGGGCTCTATCTTCGTAGCGCTGATGTTTTTGATTTTTATCAATGACCTACCATACCATCTAAGCTACCTGGCTCTTCTATACGCTGACGACGTAAAAGCATGGGGAGCGAAAAAGCGTTTGGAAGACTCAGATAGACTGTAGGCAGATCTAAAGCTTCTGAAAGACTGGCAGGTGACCAATGGAATGAATTTTTACCCGAAAAAGTGCAAAGTAGTGAAATAACGCAACTTTCGGCTCCAGAATGCAAGTTACACCCTGTGCAACGAAAGCTTGCCCTGCACGACGTCGGAGCGTGACTTAGGCCTAGTTCTAACGGAGAAAATGGACACAAGCATAAATTACACGGGTGGTGTAGCGAGGGCATATGCAATCATACAATTTACACGAAGACAGGTGCACGCACTCCTGAGCTCTTTCTAAGGTTGTACAAAACCTACGTCAGACCAAACCTTCCACTCCCACTGATTAGAAGAGATGCGAACCCTTTGGAAAGAGTTCAAAGACGGGCGAAAAAAAGGGCCGATGGGTCTCCAACACAAACCATACGATGAACGGGTTAAGCGGTTGGTCTCTTCACAGTAAGCTACTGTTGGCTTAGGGGGACTTGATTACTGCCTATAAAGTTACAAATGACCAGAATCACTCATACAAATGTTCTACCCCCAAGTATGTACGGACTTCCTTGGGTGGATAACCGCATGATCGCTCACCAGGGGGGAAAGACTCGAGTGCGCCTTCACTTTCTTTACTGCGGGTTTGCCGTCCTTGGAACTCATTACCGTCAGATGAAGCTACGACACCGTCTATGGACAGCTTTAAGGAAGGGCTGTACAGTCAAGCAACGACACAAGGACTAAGTTCAATCGAACTACTCTCTTAAAATCTCGCATACTATTAGTGGATGGGCATCCAAACTCATCGTTTCGCTTTTTCACACTCTCTCTTGTACTACTCCCCTAACTACTCCAACTATAATAATGAATTATTATTATCAAGTCTCTTACACTTTTATCATTATTGAAGTTTTTGTGTGTATGTATATATATGTACTACATATTTGTGTCAATTTCAAATTCCATTAGCTGTCTGTTTTCACGTTTTCTGTCTCTTAATCTAAATAACCTACACTACTTATATCTGTTATTATCTCTTTTCTTTTGACTACGAAACCAAAAGACTAATGGGTGAAAGGACCAACTCCGTCCACGGTAGCAGCAAAGTCTTAACACACTGCATGCTACAAACAACATATAGTTAATCCCAGCACCACTCCTTTTGCAGTCAACCATAGCTACAACAGTCTAGTGGCTGGACAAACCATGCGAAAGTTTGCCAAAGACCACGAACCTTTACCACACAATGAAGAAGCGAGCACAAAGAAATCAAACTGGCTTACAACAGCTTTAAACGGAGGATACTGTATACCTCTACAAGAAATATCGCATTACAATCTTCATAGTTCTAAGGAATGAATATAGACTTGATATGAATTATATTTTCCTTGTAACTATGTCCGAAGTTCTCAGAGGAAACACCCAGACAGTCCAGAATCCAGAGAGAAACTATTTCGCGACACGGTATCGGTTGGTGAAATTGTTGTGGTGCTCTTTTTGATCAGACTTGCGTACACGTATATCCTAGTATTTCTTCGTGTCCTAACATTGTGATCCCTCAACATCCACAACGTAAATCAAAAGGCACTTGAGAAGGAGTACGAACGTGCATTAACGCAGTAATCAAAATTCAAAAGTCGGGCGAGCACAAAGGTATCAATTGTAACACGCAATATTTAGAGTGATAAACAAATCAAATTCTACTTACATATTGAAGTATACTACAAAGATGAGTAATAAAATGGGTCACTACAAACTCCTTGATTTGATACACAAAAGAAGTGATGTCTGCGCCCCAATTGACTCGTTCAGGAAAGGAAAAGACAAGAACAGAATCATATTAGAAATATATGAATACAGAGACCAGGCATTCTATGACAATGAATATTGGATATTGAAAGTCTGAAGGTCGGCGAGTGTGTTATGGTTTCAAGGTTTCAACAAGAGGGACTATACGATTTCGCTCCGACTCGTGAGTGAAATATGATTCTCGAACATGCTTTTTAAGACATGCAGCTGACATGTGATTTATGGAGAGTTTCATGAATGTGAGATAAAGGTGCCTAACTGGCCAAGTTAAACTTTAAGCACCACTAACTACAAGTGGAGTGAGACCGCACCAATGATCTTGAAACGCTCACTGAGCAGTTCAGTAAAACCTGGCAAATGACGTTGTAATCATCAATAAAATATACTCATCGAAGTGTTGTTAGGTTATTAAGTGGAATATCTGGGAAGTTTCAGCTTAGGTTTCCGGAAAGATTGAGTTACGGTTTAGTTTAGGCCAAGGACAAGTTAGGGTTAGGTTAACCCAATGAAGGCGACATTAGGGTTAGTTTAGGCATATTTTCACGTTATGGCAATGTCCAGGAAAGATGTGAGTTATTGTTAGGGTTAGATCAAAATAATTACATGCAAAGAATGCGGTTACATTACACTGTTGATATAAGAATAGAACTTGTGCATCGTGGTAGAGTATAATTCCATGGTGGGTAAAATTTATTTTGATAAAGTCCCAGGGTGTTATCCAGTAATACTTACTGATGACGTTTCGAGCACAATTTATTGCTCTGTAAATATTAATGTATAACACTGTGAGACTTTATCAAAATAATTTTTACCCACATTGAAAATATACTCTGTTGATACTCCAACCTAAAACTGAGAGCTATTTTCATCACATGTAACAGCCAGGTATCCTCTGTAACACTTTTCTACAAATTTCATGCACTTTTTCCATAAATATATGTATTCCATACACAAAGGTGCCTCCATGTGATTGTTGCATTCGAGGTCATTCGCTGATTGGTAGTTAGTGGTGCTTAAAGTTTAACTTTGCCGTGTAACTTATGAGAAAGGGATTATCATAGACTTCAGTTGAAATCTGTGAAATCAAATAGGCTTATACTAGCTCGTAAAAACAATATTGGATAGTTAAAATAAGATGAAAAATGGGCGTAGTCAGCAGCAAAACAAGATGGGCGAATCTGTTTATATGGCTTGATTCTCCCCCATTTTAACCTTTATTTAACCAGAATTTGACCATTGTATTACCATTTGCTTAAAATAGTGTATGTTTTAACCATTCTCCGCCTATTGTTATCTGACTGGGTTCTCAATGTATAGGTATGGATCTGTTCATCCACGAAACATATTGTATCATCGTCGTAATTTCAACAAACACTTCACACTAATGTAGAGCTAATCCCCTACATCAGCATCTCCTCCAGCCATTATAATCCGATAACTGACCTTCCGCTTTCATTGTTTCCACAGGAATTGACATTTCTTTTGTATTACTACGTCCCCTCTAAGTTTTATTACGCCATCATGATGACCATATTTTTCTTCAACCGAAAACTAACCTGCTCCAATTTAAATTAATACTTGGTTCCATTGTTCACTTGACATATATATTCGCTTATTTCCAACTCATAACTTAACACGTGTGTTATTATAACAGTGTAGTGTTACTTAATGCGGTGACCCACATCCTCATTTTGTTGATTCTCTGAATGGTGAATTGCAATCCCTTCATACAGGTTAATGAATGTTTTGAATTACTATAATATCGATTCAACACAGTTTACTGTAATCACTGTCTGCCTGCTAAATTTTACACGGGAAGAATTCATGGCTCAGCGAATACATTATAATACAAGAACATTCAATAGGATTGGCCATTTGTCTTTTACCGAAAATGGTAGCATTCTACTTCCCTTATCTTTAAAATGAGCGACATAAAGAACATGCACTAAAATTGTTCACTCATGGCAATGAAATGCAGAATATGTGTCATTAGTTGTTCATTGTAATAAGCCAACTCAGATGAAATTACGTATCACACTGTTCACGTTTAACTGTCATCGTATTTTGTACCCTGTGACTCATTGGTCCAGGTAACAGACTTTCAACTGCGTGAGCCGATGGTTTGAATCCCAATCCACCTACCGAGGTTTAAATAGCCAGGTAGTATCACTAGCCGTTACATAAACAAATGCGACGCAATCGGTTAGCGTGTTTGACCTCTAACCGGAAGGCTGATAATTCGAGTCCATCCGGAGGCACTGGAGATTTTGTGCATCAGTGGTTCAGGGTTCAATTTCCAACTGGCTCACACCTTTAACTCCCTTAGCTGGTTAAAAGCCCGACGAAGAGGGAGGGTTGGGCAACAGCCTAACAACCGCACCCTGTGAAAATAAAGACCACTGCCACCGAAATTTCAAAACTCCAGCTTGAAGTCCTATATTCAACTGGGAACTCAAAGGAAAAAAATTAAAAATAGGAAAAAGAATCGCTAACTGTGTGGAAATACCATTGGTTGTTGGGCAGCATCTTCAGTCTTTGTTTCTTTTGCCGCTTCACATCTCTTTTAGGTCAGAATAGTTCCCACAGTCGGTAAAGTGATCGTGATTTGTATGCTTCACAACACTATATGAAAACATTATTAACGGACATTCATAAGTGGAATAGGTGAGAATCCGTATATAAAGAAAAAATGGATTTGAGACTGTTTAATAACTGATTATTTTCTACAAATTGATTATCTGTGGTTGTCTGATTCACTTTAGATCTTTCCACTTTTTAGATAATGGGCACCTATATGGGAGTTTATTACTTATACGTTTCCGGGAAATCCAAATAATTCAAGTTTTACGATTTAGCAGCTACAATTAATCTCACCATCTAACATTTACTTTCCTCTATAAAATACATCATTTCATCCAACTTGGTTTTATTCCGTCTGTATTCGCCTATTGTATCAATCCAAGATTATTGGTTAGTTATACGACGGTCTTCACAGTGTATACTCATTTTCACTGCATTTCAAAACTAGAAAGCCCGTGATATGTCTACAGGTGTTCTTAAATTCATTATCACTGCTATCCTACTTAGTGTAAATATTATCTCTTCTTTGATCGCATTTTATGCTGGTATTAAAGGTGTAAACAGAGATAAATTTTCATCATCATCATGGAGCATTGGATTCTCTTTGTCAAACTACTTTTCTATTGGTCTATTTATGGGAATTTCAATTTTGGGTTTGTATAGCAGTTCAGCGGTAAAGTTGCATACAGTCCAAAATGAATTTTCTCAGCATAGCGCCTTCAAACATTATCCTATTTCAGAAACACTTTTATGCCTTGGAATATTTTTCTTATTTGTTTGTGAATGGTGTTCAAGAAAAATCACAAAAACTGTATGCAGATCATCCGAGCAGCAGAAAAGTTTTAATAACAATTTTGAGTTCCTAAATTCTGTGGAAAATGTCCCATTGAATGGTTCTGCTTATCTGGAGGATGAAATCGAATTGTTACCAGTGCAAGAAATTTCTGACAATAATGGTACCACTACTAATAATTTTGAACGCAATAATACAAAAATCAGACGAACATCAGTGTACCGAAATAAAGTTGGACAACAGGGTTTCAGCCTTGCAAAGTCAATTTTACTTAGCTGTGCACTCAGTTTGCATTCATTTCTTGAAGGATTGAGTTTTGGTCTGTTGGACTCATTCGACCAGGTGAGTATTATAGTGTTGCGTGATTCTGAATACTTTATGTATTTCATTTAATCTGGCGGGGGGGGGTGTAGCTTATTGATGGAGTTGTGGCTTATTGACATTAACAACCCATTTGTGTCCAGTGGATCTTTAAGTTCGAATCCTGTTCTACCTAATCTAGTCTAGAGAATGGAGTAATGTAATTATGCCCCGCATGACTTATAGCCTATAACATACAGAAATTGACTTGTTTTTTGAGTGCAAATCCTGTCCGATTTATTGTAACCCTTGTAAATAGATAGTATAATGATGTCTAAATGGCGATTTTTTCTATATTGGAATCAGGGATTGACTTGTTACCAGGAAATTATTGTCTCGTTGACAGAATATGCGGATGACATATTCCCCCCTCCTAGCTGAAGATTCTGACAAAATGCAGAGTCTTCTGAACACCCTGAGCAGCAGAAATCTTTGACTATTCGGCATGCGATTCACTCCCGTGAAATATAAGACAATGCTACAGGACTGGACTACATAGACTCATAGCTTAAAGATAGACACCAGTAAAGTGGTCGAGTGTGTATTGACCGCTCCACTTATTTGGGAAGTTGCTTCAGCTAACGCCAGCTGGTTAATCTCTAACAAAATCTCAGCACAGATCCATAAGGCTTGTTTGGCATTTCCCAACTTACGCCACCTCTGACATAGACGTGGTATTTAGGTGGCTATCGATCAAAGGATATTTGTGTTGCACAGCCGTTCACACCATCCTCATTTATGGCTGTCAGACATGGCCATTGAGGGTGGAAGAAATGAAAAGGCTGGTTGTATGTGACCATTGGTGTCTGCCTTCTATCTCCCGTGCTAGGTGGCATAATAGGGTGAGTAATATTGAGATGAGACTTCGGTAGAGTGTTAGGTGAAGGGAAAGAATCGATCGAAGTAGCTGCATCGATTGAGATGGCTAGGACATGTGTTATGCATGGCTTCATCAGTCAACGAAATGCATAACAATTGCTTTTCGCTATTCACGTAGGGGAATGTAGACTGCTCGGCTGGTTGGGGTCCTCGGGATGGTAAGAGCTAATAAAGACTGGAGACAGTCGCTGATATGGCTCATAATCGTTCTCAGTGATAGTGCAAATGCATTCACTCTGTGTAATGTTAAAGCCAGTCAGTCGGAGCATCAAGTAAGGTAAACATGTCGATTGTTGGAATTGTTGCAACATTCACTTGTCACAGTGGTTGGGAAACGAATAGCACTCAGAAAACACCATCTTTCTCAGTCTTTCAGATATAAGCGCAGTTAAACTTAGATGTACCACTATTCTTTAACGTATGTGTCATGGTAAGCATTGCTTATTTTGTGAGATGTTAGCTAGGCATCCATGACAATCTAGTCTATCAATATATCCTGCTTACGTAATTCCATGTGTGTAATCCGAAGAGCCTGATTTATTTATATCTCTTACCTCCAATAGGAGTTGCTGATTAGTCTAGATGTCCCAGTTCCACCTGATAAGTCGAAGGTTCAATCCCACATTCACCCACTGAGGTTTTAAGCAGCCAGATAGTATCGCTAAGCATCTGGCAATAGGTGTGTCTCTTTGTAAACTGCATGAAAATTTAAGTGGTTCTTAAACAACATCTATTATTCCTTATTTGCCTTCAAAGGTCGTGTTTCACAGCCCCGTATAGAGGGACAGAGTGAATTGTTGCACATTAAACACAGCCTTTGATAATTAGTACCAAAGAAAGCGCAAACTGACGAATGTCAAACCACATTTTCTTAACGATGACTAGTTTACAAAACCTGATTGCCGTAAGAAGTGATGGGGATGATTTGTCATCTCAGGTGGAACTGGCTCGTTTGATTGCAAATCTGCATTATTTTTCAAGGCAACATCTTCAACGCGAAGTAAGCGTTTAGAGTTTCCCATGAGTTAGTTAGCTATCGCTAATGGTTACCCTGAAATCTGTTGATTGTTTCCGGAAAATTTTCTCACCTTCTTGTCCACTTGCATTGGTATTAAAAAAATATATAAAAAAGTAATCAATTCTAGTACAAGTGGACACGAGGGTGAGAAAATCTCCTGAAGTAACTAGTCTTTTTTTTAAGATCAGACGGCTAATAAACTCATAGAGAGTTCTAAAGACTTACTTCATGTTAAAGTTTGCACTAAAGATGTTGTCTGAAAAGATAATGGAAGCTTTGAAAAGTGTTAGTGAAGTTGTCTACCCGCCTAAATTATTTCACTGCTCTATCTTTAGACTAGGAATCGTCAATAACCAGCTATATAACATTATCTTGCATTTAACATATGCCGACCTTTGCTCAAGATGTTCAAAGTAGCATACTAGTGTCGAAAAAACACATAATTCCACGAATCGGTGGGAGCTGGAATTCGCTTACCATTGGGTCGGGTCCCAGTGGGTGAGGAACAGTCCGTGATTTTTATTATTTTGTTTAAACGCAGAAAAAAACTTAGTACAGTATGGCACCAAAATAGATGCGCCACAAAATAATAATAAAACAACATAGACCAAAAGTTTAAAAAAAACAATATAAGTAGAGAACGGATAAAGAACTTCATCTGGAAGGAAAACACTCATACTTAACAAGTTCAAACAGTATTCGTCAACCATCATCGGGAAGGGAAGAAAGAAGGAAATCGCAACACATTTGCTATTGGTTACGATTCTTGGCCATATCCCATAACGTTTCAAGCCATCGATTCGAGCTATCTCTTGGACTCCAACCAGAGAGTCGTGACGCACCAACCGATGCTAATCTAGCACAAACATCCTTCATTCCACGACACCATGTCATGAACTGACCACCCCCTCTGCCTTTTCCATCCTGTCACAGGGCTGGCTAGCGAACAGAGACCTGTACAGAAGCCTCTGGGATGACATTCACAGCACATGTCCAAGCCACCGGAGCCGGTGTTTCCAGATGACGACACTCAATGAATGGTGATCTCCACTGTATTCAAACACACGCCACCGAACCTCAGAATTACTCACGTGATGATGCCATCGAACGCAAGCAATACTGCGGAGACAGCGATGATCGAACACGCAGAGTCGCCGCACATCCTCAGCCTACTCGGAGAGGCCAGGTTTCACAGGCGTAGAGCAGCGCAGCCCGCACCGAAGCATTGTATACTCGAACTTTGACAGCCAGGTGTGGCTCAAGTTGATGTATGCCACCCTAGCCTTCATTATACGGTTAGAAATCTCATCCATCACCCCTCCGCCAGCACTCACACAACTACCCAGATACACAAACTTATCAACAACTTCAAGTGGTTCACCCGCAAGATTGAGTGTAGGTACAGGCTCCTGCCAGTCTTGTAACATTACTTTGCACTTAGACGGCGCAAAGTACATACTACACTTACAGACACTGATCGCCAACTGATTAAGTCTCTGTCTGTCTGTTTTCGACATAGAACTTTGCACAAATGTGCGGAAGTTCAAGTCGCCACATTCCGTGTAGCACGCGAAGCAAGAGAAGAAAGTACAAGAAAAGCATAATAGAAACAGTGAGCAGAGGTGTGAGACAAAGGAGTAATAAAGAAATACAAAACAGTTTCATTGAAGATCATAAGTCACAGGGAGTGGATGCATCTGCGCCACTGAGAACGATTTTGAGCCATGTCACCAATTGTTTCCAACCATAGATTTTTACCGTCCCGAGGACCCCAGCCTGGAAGTCTACACCTTTCTACGTGGCTTAGACCAACTGTTGTGGATTTCATTGACTGATGCCAAGTTTTTGTTTGACCGCCGCTAGCTTTTTTCCAGCCTAACCCTATATCCGCTAGCATTGCTCGTCGAGGGAGGCGATGGCTTGGCATACGTAACACATGTCCTAACCATCTCAGTCTTTGTAGCTTCACGACTTCGTCGATTGATTTCCCCTGTTTACCTAGAACTCGACGCCTAACCTCCATGTTGCTCACCTTATTATGCCACTTTACACGGGAAATAGAACGCAGGCACCTATGATCAAAGACAGCTAGTCTTTTCATGTCTTCCACTCTCAGTGGCCAGGTCTCACAACCATAAAGGAGGACAGAGCGGACTGATGATGATTAAGTGCGATTCGGGCAGCCTGCATGCTATCGCACAGTAAGACGATGTCGTCTGCATACTCGAGGTCGAAAAGTCTATCTTCAGGTAGCAGATCTGCACCACCTTCACGCACATCTTTCAGAGCTGACTCCAGAATGTCATCGATGGCAAAGTTAAAGAGAAATGGAGAGATCGGGCTCACTTCGTAACTGGAAGGTCCAGGATTCGAACCCTGGTGGTGGGTTCGTACTGCTGAAGAATCTCAGACTAGGCTGACTGAAGCATCTGTCCAGTATTCCTTGGTGGTTTCTATTAGTTCTCTAGCTGATGTCAGCTTGTGATCAATCCTGTTTTCAAAGGTGTTGAGGTGTGAATTCACGTGTACCGTTGTTATTATTTTACTTAATATGTGTTCCGTGAATGTGACAAGCTCGTCCGTTCCTTCTTATGCACACTAAGATCCTTTTAAAAAAATAAATTGGCATTATATTGTTTTTATTCTCATTTTCAGGTTGTTAGCATGGCTGTTGGTATGTCCATGCATCAGTTTTTATGTGCAGCCACCTTGGGATTTCGTCTTGCCCAATCAAGTGTGACAAACACCAAGAGGTACATCGCAGTTTTCGTCCTGATATGTTACCTGTTAGTTTTCCCTTTCGGTGTTTCATCCGGTAAAAAGCTGTTCGAGTTGGCCTACACTTCATACAACGATAATTTCACATCGACCCGTGCAAACAACACACTCACTTCATCTTCATCCTATACTCATGGAAATTCTGGTCAACTGATGATTGGCTTATTGCAGAATTTCGCTGCTTCATCCTTTCTCTATGTAATCTTGTTCGATATGTTGCCAGCTGTATCCTCGTATGGTGTGAAAACCTTCAGTACACCTTCAGTCGCCTCCGCTTCTTCTATGCATTATTGTAACTCTGCCAAGTATGAGTCAACTAAACGAAGAAGAGGAAGTGGTATTCTATGCTTTTGTTCTGTATTCGTAGGCTTTGTGTTAGTCTCCGGTCTGAGATTTCTTCACCATAAGTGAGACGGCTGGCACATATGCCTATGCATATCATTACTTCCATGGATGCGCGTTGTCTTTCATACTGTTAAGCGGTGGGGTAATCACAGCTAAGTAATTTGCCAGTAACGCTTTTCTCTCTCTCTCCCTCCGTCTGTCTCCCACTCATTAGACTCACCTTCTCATGGCATTCAGAGAGACAGTATATACAAAAACTTAAACAAAAATTTAATTTTGAATCTCACTGCTTTATTTGCTCCTCTTTCAAAATTGTTAAGAATTGGCTAGTGTTTGTTTGTTTGCCTGTTTCTCTAAGTGTGTGTCGGTGTGTGTGTGTTTGCGTTGTGTGAAACACACAATACTTGTTTATTTTGTTTAATCAATATTTTTTGAATTACTCAAGAAAACTAGAAAACATTTTTTAGAGACTTTTTTGTTTGTTCTTTTTGGTTATTTTTAAAAAACAAACTTTAAAAAAGTACATGTTACCGTGGGTTTGGTGAGCAGTTCTTGCTTTATTTCTTTACGTTCCCAGTGAAACATAGGGGGCTTCAAGCTAGAGGCTTGAAATTTCTGTAGCAGTAGTGTTTACTTTTACGGGATGGGGTCGCTAGCATTACAACCAACCTCCCCTCTTTACCAGTCTTATTGTAACAGCAGAAGACAAGGACCAGACAACAGACTTTTTATTGAGGAAATCAACACATGACCAACTATTGGGGACGTACAGATTGACGTAAATTACTGTCTACCAACTTTGGTTAACAGCCAGCTCTCACCACACTCGTCCCCCCCCCCGTCAAAGACTTGCGACTGAAGTTGATTCGGTCTTTTTGGTTCTAGGAGCTTTGTTCGTTCGTCTTGCTGTCTAGAATCGCGGCACTCGCTGATGTTCACCTGTTTCTTTTTGTTCACCATTGCGATTGTGTCTGCGTAACCCCATCTCAACGTGACCGTATGTTGTCCTTCCCACTTTGGAAACTGTTTGTCTGACTCTGTCGCACATTCGTCAGTATTTCGCCTCGCACTTCCATATGCTGCTTCCTCCCGACCTCCCAGTAGCGTCTCGAGTAGCAGCCTCATCGCTGACAGATCTTGAACGCCACTCAACTGTACAGAAGCCTCGAAGCCCTGCCCGAAGACCATATGTCTCCATCAAAAACTGCAGGACATAGGCTTTCCATTTGTCGGTAGGCAGCGACATCAAATGTAACAACAGAAGACAAGGACCAGCCAAACAGATCGTTTATGAAGGAAATCAACACATATTTATATATTTCCATGTACATTATTACAGATTATTTAGGCAAACAAACACAGTCCTCTGATTGGTTGTTTCTCACAGAAAGTTAAACTTTCATCTCTTTGTGGTTGTTTCTTGAATGTCAGATCATCTATATGTTAAATGTATCCGCCTACGCAAAGTCTTTGTTCTTATTTTTTTCACGAACAATATTGGGGACATAAACATTGACGTAAAGTAATCTCTACCAACTTTGGCTAGCAGCCAGCCCTCACCACATTATTACTGGCTTAGCGAGTTAAAGGAGTGTGCCGACCGAAGATCGGATTCCGGACCACATGCGTGGTTGGCTGTGCCACTGATGCAGTAATGGTTTTTATTGCTGTGTGGGCACAGAGTCTCATAGTTTTTGTCAGAGCTGGGGATATACTTCCAGTAAAGCCAGATGGATGGATGCAAGAGGTACGTTCTCATGGTTAACAGTGACAAAAACAAGGTGTATACATTGCTGATATCAGATAGTTGGAGGCAATCACCAGGAAGCCTTGATTCACCCTAGGTTTCATGCCACTTGGCACTCACTTGTCAGCAGAGCAACCTCCTTGAAAAAACTCTTATCTCTGAAGTAATAAGGGATGAATACACTGGAAAACATATAAGGTGAAGGTCGAATTGTGGACTATAATCATAGACGGTTTAAGACCATGAGGGATGCAGTGATTGAACAAATTTCTTCTGCAGACGGAGCTTTGACTTCTATATTTCAACAGACAGCTTCAGTAATACAGCTGTAGTTTAGAAATAGGGGGTGAAGTGGTAGAGTACGTCGACCTCTTCACTTATTTGGGAAGTACCATCAGCCAACGCCAACGGGTTGATCTCTGACGAAATCTCAGCTGAGTACGTATACAGGGGACTAGTTTCACATATGCCAGTTTACGCCGTCTCTAACGTAGACGTGATATCCGGCTGGCTATCAACCAAAGGTCGGGTGTACTGCTCATCAGTCCACTCCGTCCTCCTTTATGGCTGTGAGACGTGGCCATTGAGGGTGGAAGACATGAAAAGCCTAGATAGCTGTCTTCGATCATAGGTCCCTGCGCTCTATCTCCCGTGTGAAGTGGCATAATAAGGTGAACAATATTGAGGTTAGGAATGAATCGAGTGGTAGGTAAGGAGGGGAAATCAATCGACGAGGCTTCGAACTAGCTACAACGACTGAGATGGTTAGGACATGTGTTACGGATGTCTAGTCATCGCCCTCCTCGACCGATGGACAATGTTAGCTGCCCGGAAAAAAGCTAGCGGAGGTCAAACAAAAACATGGCACCAGACAATGGAATCGACAACAGTTAGTTTAAGTCACGTAAGGTATAGACTTCCGGGTTGGGGTCCTCGAGACGGTAAAAACCAATGGTTGGAAACAATTAGTGATGTGGCTCAAAGTCGTCTTCATAGGCGCGGATGCATCCACTCCTTGTGACTTATAATTTTCAATGAAACTATATTGTTCTTCGTTATTACTATTCCTTTGTCTCACACCTCTGTTTACTGTCTCTCTCTATTATGCATTTCTTCTACTTTCTTTTGTTGCTTTGTGTGCTCTAAGGAGTGGAGTGTGGCGACTTGAACTGCCACACATTGGTGTAAAGTTCTCTGTCGAAAATAGACAGACAGTGATTTTGGGCAGGCCATAATTCTTGCTAAAGTTAATTTTAGAGGAAGACGTTATGGAAATAATAAGTTGATCAATGTCGAGCAAATGTTCAAGTGTTACGCTTTCTATTATTCTCATTCTATTGACAAATTGAACTTTCAAAAAAGAAGAGATTATTGCATTCCCCAACAGTATGCTGTAACTCATTTATACATCACACTGACAACGTCAGTCAAATCTATCTCATGGCTGACAAACGGATAGTTGAGTTTCCAATTAAATATCTTGCAGTTTAGATGGAAGATTGTTGTCGCTACATACTTACTTACTATCCAAGTTACCATTCTATTATTTCCACGAAAAGTCGAGTAAAACCGAAATTATTTAAATCCGCTAGATAGCGTGAATGGTACCGAAGAAACCAAGCGTTAAGGCATGGAACAATATGTTACTGATTCCCTGAGATGAGTAGTTACATGCCATTGGAAATATTTTTTTTTGGTAGTAAAATGGGAGCCTAAGAAGATCGATCCATAGAAAACCTACGTGGAATGGTTAACTATATATAGCTTCTGTAGCTAGGTACCCATTCAACAAAAGCGGAATTTAATTAAATCACTTGTCACCCGCATCCGACGCATCTGTAGTCCCGACGTTCTGGAAACAGAATTAGATATTCTAAGAGAAATCTTCATCCAAAATGGATACCCAATAAGATTTATCAACAAAAATATCAAACCAATAATTAGGAGCCCTGGGTGACGCGGGTTCGAATCTCAGAAGGGACATGAGTTCCTTCAAGGTTGCAGATACGCCTTGCTGATGAGCGCCAAATAGCACGAAACCTAGGTCCAAGGCTTCCTGCCAATTGCCTCCAACTATCTAAACGAAACTTTAATTGCACCGAAAAAGAAGCTATATGAACTTCGATTTCAAGGGAGACTTAACAAGCGATATCCTCGAGAGAAGGATCACATCATCTCTGAGAAGAACATTCTTTGCAGCAACGCTGATCTGCAGAAGCCTCAAGGACAACATCCCGCATCTGATCACTTCTATGTGCATAAATCAGTTCACCTGCTGCTGTGGAGCCAGGTACATTGGTAGTTCAACGCGCATCCTGTTCAAGAGGATTCAAGAACACTATCCAGCATGGTTGCGAAAAGGCAATTGTGGTACAATATTATTATTATTGCTCCCTTGGGTTCCTAGTGGAACATAGGGCTTCAACTGCACGTCTCCATTTTCTTCTGTCTTCTGCTATACTTTTCGCCTGCATCCATGTTAATCCATATTCTTTCAACTCCTCTTCACACGATCTCCTCCATATCACCCTTGGACGTCCCACACGCCGCTTCCCTTTCGGGTTCCACTCGAGGGCTTGGCGCGCGACGTCACCCAGAGGTCTCCTCAGCGAGTGTCCGATCCATCTCCACTTTATCCTGCATATTTGTTGGGCGACTGGTTCTTGCTTTGTTTGTTCCCATAATTCCTTGTTGGTGATTCTTTCCGGCCATCTGATCTTCAGTATTGAGCGAGATACTAGCTTGCTAGGCTACTAGCTTACTAGTTTTCTCGCCGGTCCCAAGCCCGGATAAAGAGGGAGGGTTGGGGCGTGGTGCTAGCAACTCCACCCCTGTAAAACAACCAAATCGCTACAGAAACTTCAACGAATAAATATATTAAAAATTCTAAAAGTGGTACAATAAGGAGTGCGATAATTGAACACTTGGTTAACACTGATCATTCCATCTCAACAAACTCCTCCTGCTTAAAAGTAATCTACATAGTCAAGAATAACCTACCAATGGCAATACGGTTTCGTCTCCTTTGTATCGCTGAAGCTCTGGCTATTCACATAGAAAGGCTGGAGCTGTGCATACAAAGGAGGATTACTCAACCACTTCCACTGTCATGGTAACAAATTTTTTAAAATTTTATTTATTTTATTATTTTGATGACTTAATTCTGTTTCTTCGCCTGTTCTTTAATTGCTTAGAATTCTTGTATTCATTTAGATCTCTTACATAATTTCGTATTATCTACTTTGTTTCTATGTGCATCCTGAGTAAAACTCACTCATCAAACTATTCATATTATTATTACATAACTTCTTTTAACAACTGTTTGTGACAACTCATCACCTTTGTTACTACCACCAGTTTCATTAACACCTAATTTTCTTGACTTGTATTACCAACCTTCACCTGTTTAGTTAAAATAACCATAACCAATTGTAATTTTGTTTGACAAACTTAGTGTACACATACATACAAAATAACGCACATATATATATATTTGCGATTGTACAGTTAAGAAAATGAATTCGCCGTCGAAAAGAGACTGACTCTTCGCTGATCTACGTGTTTTGTTTCCATTAATGTCTGGATGGAGATTATCCATGAAAATTTAAAACAAGCAACAACTGTGAAAAAAGCAACATTTAATGAAGTCTCAGTAGAAGGACTCGTCAGCAGAATATTCCTTTACAAACACATTGTTATTTATACAGTTCCAATTAAGACATATAAGCGAACAAACCATATTGTTGTTTTCAATTAGATCTTCTTGAGGCTTCACTGTAATTTACATAGATTTACATATAGAGATTTTTAACTAATGACAGTGAGTTTGTCAATCAAATAATAATAATATGTTGATTGCTTTGAACGTCACCAATGACGATGCTTATATTGATGACAAAAAATAATGATAATAAGGTTTATGCATATGGCAATAATAATAATAATAATGAATGTAGTAATAAAATAATACTCCTTTTGTATACAGAAATCCGGCTTCTTTAATGTGATTGTTTATGCTTCAACGAAACCGTGAGCTTTTTTGACGTGGCATCAGTCAATGAAATCCACAACAGTTAGTTTAAAACAGCCAACCACGTAGGAAGATGTAGGCTTCCTGACTCGTTGGGGTCCTTGGGAGTGTGATATGGCTCAAAATCGTTCTCAATGGTCAGCGTAGATGCATCCACTCCTTGTAACTTATAATTTTCAATGAAACTATATTGTTCTTCGTTATTACTATTCCTTTGTCTCACACCTCTGTTTACTGTCTCTCTCTATTAT